TTTCGCCCACAGCGTAGTCCTCTGGATCAAGCCCTCTGTTCATGACTTGATGCACGCTACTTCCTCACCCACCATCACTATCCTGTGGTTGCTTTCCTAGACATCAAATCAGCGTATGATACCGTGGATCGTCGAGTAATTTGGGATGCTCTCTCTCGTTCTTCTCTGCCTCGTTCAGTTCTCAGTTGCTCATCCACATGTTCGATGATGTACTCGTGTCTGTGTTTGATTGCAAATCACACCTCTGTTCCTTTTCGCCTGCTACTGGCGTATTGCAGGGTTCAGTGCTCAGCCCTCACTTGTACTCTCTGTACATCAACTCTCTGCCTGCTGTTCTTCGTTCTGCTGTCAGTCGCGGTACTATGGTATCACCACCTGGGATGCCTAGTGTTTGCGTGAATAGCCTGCTCTTTGCTGATGATGTGGCCATATTTGCTCTCGTACTGATGTGCAAACCATGTTGGATATCGCTTCAGATCACTCGTTCTCTCTTGGCTACAGGTGGAAACCATCAAAATGTGCTGTACTTTGTGCTCCTACTGCCTCTACTCGTCATCCATTGTCTCTATACGGTGAACCTCTTCCTGTGGTAGAGGAATTCACGTATCTTGGTATGCCGTTTAGATATAAAGGTCTGTATGCCCCTGGGATTCTCAATCTGCGTGCTTCTGGTGCTATCAAGACAATGGCATTGTTAAATTCGGTTGGTGTCAATCGAAATGGTTTTTCTCTGTTGCTTTGTGCTCGTTTGTATAAAAGCTTTATTCGTCCCAAACTGGAATACGGCTTAGCTATATCTCATCTCTCTTTCCGTGACTTCAAGGCTCTTGATGCTCTGCAAAATCGATTGGTTGGTATGTTTGTTGGTAGTACATGGTACAATGTTGCCAAACATTTGACCTGTCTTCCCAGCATGAAGCATCGATATAACGTTCTGACAACACGTTATGCCCTTCGTGCTGATACTCTCCCTGATGATTGCTTGTTGGTTCTGCTTCGTCGTGGTTTACTGTACACTCGTCTAGACAGATTTATCTGTCAAAACCCGTTGTATCTAACACTGCCTGATCCGCCGCCATTCACCACTGCTGGTCTTACTGAAGTCTTTGATTCGTATTGGCAAGATCAAGTAGATCGTCAACTTGCTGCTGCTGCTGTTTTCTGGTGCTCAGACTCTCCTTCGTGCTTGTCGTCCGTCTGTCTCTCGTCCAGATCCCATCCTGTATCTGCCTATTGGTCGATCTGCTCGTAGTCGTCTTGTGCGGTGGCGTCTTGGACGTTTCACCAATATGCGTGAAGAATGTCCGTGCACTACCGGTGAGTTTATCTCCCGAGATCACTTTCTGACATGTCGTGCTCTGGATCGTACCTTTTTTGATGCTTTGCCACCTGCTCCACCTGGTGTACATCGCATTGACCATGCTCTGAACTGTCTTCCAGACAAAGCTTCAGCTGGTCCACCGTACTTTTGGTCTGCTTTGCTCCTTTTGTTGCATGCCATTGATTGCCTTGTGCATCCTCTGGCTGTGATCCCACCAGATCCAGATCCTGGATCGCTCTGGTTTTCTGCTCATTGATGAACGTTTGTTGTTTTTGCTTTCTCGGTGCGATGCCACGGTGGTAAGTAATTATCAAAGTTCCCATCCGTTGGTCATTCCTCCAGATCAAATCAAACAATACCAGTATTCATGCCGCTCCTTTTGCCACTACCACACTTTCCTTTTTCCCTTTTTCTTAGTTAGTGTCCCCTTAAGGGTTTTTTGTACCTGCTACTCTTTTGTTTCTAGAATTCTAGGCTAATGCTCCCATCGAGTGCCCATTGAATTCATGTATATAATAAAAATCAACGTTAAACTGAGCTACATCCCCATCTCTTTTCCGTTTTTCATCACTTTTTGCCACCTTCCCCCGGTAAAAAGTATTTCCTCACTATAAAAGCGGTTTATCTCGACAACTAGTTCACCAAACAATACCAAATTACAGCAGTAGACTTGCGTTTATCCATAGTTTATTGTATATTAATTTCAGTCTTGTTGAACAACTTGCCAGTTTCTTTGAATCCTAGTAATTTTTCACAAAATGACTACACCAATCTCTCAAAGCCTACAAGGTTTTGACATCAGTCAGTTGCCCATGTTACTTGAGCACATTCAGCAGCAACTTGCCTCAGTTCAGGAGAAAGTACATGAACATGACCACCTCTTGGAGCGTATGAACAAGTTAGAAGAGGAAAACCAAGCCCTAAAAAAAAATCTTTTGGCCAAGGACCTGGTAATTCAAGAATTACAGGGCCAACTATCACGTGGAACTACTCAAGCCCCTACACCTGAGGTAGATCAGGAACGTCCGTTCATCTCTCAGGTCGTACAGTCCCAAGATCCTGCTACTACTGCTAGTACCACTATTGCTACCGATACTGCCACTAAAGGTAGTTATCTCTCTGCTGCTCGCTCTGGAGCTAAACGCCCCGATCCTGTTCGTACAGCCAAACGCCGTCTTGCTGCTGGCCGTCTCTTCCAATCTGCTGCTGTTAAGGGCCAACAGGGATACCAATATGTCTACCTTGGTAGATCTGGTAAGATCCAGCGCTCTGAGGTTCGTGCTACCCTCCGTAAGGTTGGTGTTGATACTGGTCGTGTTCTCGACATTTGTTTCCCTGCTTCTGGTGTTATTGGAGTTCTGGTCCATATCCAATATGTCGACACTTTTCTTGCTTACATGCACAAGTGCGAAGCTGAGCTCATCGAGAATTTTGAGCCTCTGGATCCCAAACACATTGCTGATCCCCAATATGCAAACCTTGCTATTGCGGATCGAGAACAACTGATCTACGAGTTTACAAACACTCGTGCTCTGCAAACTCTTTCCTTCCTTCGTCCTCTCAATGTCAGTGGTGTTGGAAAATACTTTGTCTCTGCTGGATGGATTTCCCAAGAGGAACTTGATACAGCTGTTTCCGAAGCCATGGGCCGCCTTGCTGAAAAAGAACCCAAGAAGGCTCAATTCTTGCTCAAGCGTAGAAAAGCTTCTGACAGCAATGACTCTGCTATGGAACTCTAATGAGCTCTATAATACATCAGAGTCATATCAACAACAACCCCGTCCACTCCTTTCCTGTCTCTCTTTCCCTTTGGAATGCCAATGGTCTCCGTCAATCAGTTGTGCACGATGTCCTCTCACATGTATTGGATACGCATGTTCTCGTTGTCACTGAAACTTGGCTTCTATCTGGTTCTTTCCCTTCCGACTGGTCTCAATTCCATCTATATGGCACAAAAGTACCTGGCGCTTTTGGCCGTGGTTCTGGTGGTGTTACAGCCTTTGTCTCTCCTTCCTGTCCTTTCTCTGTCTCTCAACTCCCGTCTTACAATCCTCACACTCTGTCCCTTAAGGTTGGCACCCTTACGGTTCATTGTGTGTATCTGCCTCCACCCTTATCCTCGGATAAGGTGCTCTCGCTCCTTCGCTCGTTACCTATAACTAGTGATACCATCCTTTGTGGTGATTTCAATGCTCGCTTTGGATCTCTACTAGGTGATACTACTGCTAATCCCCGTGGTAACTCTCTACTACCATGGATTGAGGAGGCTTCGTTGTCGATCCTCAATGAGTCTCTAGCTTATGGTACACCCACCTTTACAACATTTCGGCGACAACAAGAGGTACACAGCATCATTGATCTGTTCCTTACCAACATTGGCGAGACGGCTATGTTGAATTCTCAACTGGTGGTTGACTCTGATCTGTCCCTTGGTTCTGATCATCGGCTGATGGTACTTACTTTCGAGTATGTGCCCCCTCCCGATGATACTCTTGGTTCTGGTAACTCTGGTGGTTTGGCCCCTAGACGACAATGGAAGCTCTCGAAATTGAGGAAAAAGCGGCCATTGGGCTTGCTTCGTGAATCCTTTCAATCTTCTGTTGCTCCTTTGGTTGATTCTCTCTCTGGTTTGGTCTCTGCTCCTGATGGAGTTCGTCCTGATATTGATGCACTCAATGATTCTCTGAATTGTTGTTTGTATGAATCTCTTGACGGGTCAATTGGTGTGAAATCTGGTCGCCCTGGTCACTGGAAAAAGTACTGGACACAAGAAATTGAAGATGCAGCTCGTGAAAGAGATGCCTCATATAGTCGATGGCGATGGGCAAGTGGCTTTGCCAAAGTTGAAACATGGGGTATATATCAAACTGCTCTTAGACGTTTTCGCTCTCTGATACAGGCTGCCAAAAGAAAGTCGTGGAACACATTCTGCTCTAATCTGGAAAAGGATTTCTCTAAAGCTACTGCTGCTATCAAACGCATAAAGCGAAACAAAGAATCCTCTGCTACTTATAGCCATCCAGATGGTCCAGCTGCTTCAGTAACAGCAATGGCATCACATCTTGCATCTGTATACAATGGTACACTCCTTAACTCTGCTTCTCGTCCTGTTGCTCCTGAACCGAATGTATCGGATCTACCCTACAATGATCCCTCTGTTACAAATCTGTTTGATGCTGATACTATTGTCTCTCTGATTAAGCGATTGCCAAATGGAAAAGCTCCTGGTCCTGATCATCTGAAAGCTGAAATGCTGAAGGCTCTAGCATCTGACATTGCACCCGTATTGTCTCTGCTATTTACGCTTTGCTCTCAATGGTCGTACACTCCTGTATTGTGGCGTCATGCTCAGGTCTTTCCCATTTACAAGAAAGGTGATGTATCTGATCCTGCAAACTTTCGTCCAATTTCGCTCACTTCGGTGATGCGTAAATTGTTTGAATTTTCATTGATGCCTGCTCTTGATGAACATTCGCCTGCACTTGATGTTGCTCAAGGTGGTTTTCGTCCACAACGTAGTCCTCTGGATCAAGCCCTCTGTTTACATGACTTGATGCACGACTACTTCCTCACTCATCACCACTATCCTGTTGTAGCCTTTCTGGACATCAAATCTGCATACGATACAGTGGATCGCAACGTTATTTGGGATGCTCTTGCTCATTCTTCACTACCTCGTCCAATCCTTAGTTTATTGATCAATATGTTCGATGATGTACTAGTCTCTGTACTGATTGCAAACCACAACTCTGACCCTTTTTCGCCTGCTACTGGTGTACTCCAAGGTTCAGTGCTCAGTCCGCACTTGTACTCTCTGTACATCAACTCTCTGCCTGCTGTTCTTCGTGCTGCTGTCAACCGTGGTACTATGGTATCTCCACCCGGAATGCATCCTGTTCATATCAATAGTTTACTCTTTGCTGATGATGTGGCCATATTTGGCTCTCGTACTGATGTGCAAACCATGTTGGATGTCGCTTCAGATCACTCGTTCTCTCTTGGCTACAGATGGAAACCATCAAAATGTGCTGTACTTTGTGCTCCCACTGCCTCTACTCGTCATCCATTGTCCCTATACGGTGAACCTCTTCCTGTGGTAGAGGAATTCACGTATCTTGGTATGCCGTTTAGATATAAAGGTCTGTATGCCCCTGGGATTCTCAATCTGCGTGCTTCTGGTGCTATCAAGACAATGGCATTGTTGAATTCGGTTGGTGTCAATCGAAATGGTTTTTCTCTGTTGCTTTGTGCTCGTTTGTATAAAAGCTTTATTCGACCCAAGCTGGAATACGGCTTAGCAATATCGCATCTCTCTTTCCGTGACTTCAAGGCTCTTGATGCTCTGCAAAATCGATTGGTTGGTATGTTTGTTGGTAGTACATGGTACAATGTTGCCAAACATTTGACCTGTATTCCCAGCATGAAGCATCGATATAATGTCCTGGCAACACGTTATGCTCTTCGTGCTGATACTCTCCCTGATGATTGCTTGTTGGTTCTGCTTCGTCGTGGATTACTGTACACTCGTCTAGACAGATTTATTTGTCAAAACCCGTTGTATCTGACACTACCTGATCCGCCGCCATTCACCACTGCTGGTCTTACTGAAGTCTTTGATTCGTATTGGCAAGATCAAGTAGATCATCAACTTGCTGCTGCTGCTGTTTCTGGTACCCAGACCCTCCTCCGTGCTTGTCGTCGTTCTGTATCTCGTCCAGATCCCATTTTGTACCTACCAATTGGTCGATCTGCTCGAAGTCGCCTTGTTCGCTGGCGTCTTGGACGTTTCACAAACATGCGTGAAGAGTGTCCGTGCGTGATGGGTGATTTTATATCTCGAAATCACTTTCTGACATGCCGTGCTCTGGATCGAACACTTCTCGATGCTCTGCCTGTGGCTCCTCCTGGTATTCATCGTATAGACTATGCCCTTAATTGCTTACCTGTGAAAGCCTCTGATGGTCCTCCATCTTATTGGTCTGCTTTGCTTGCTCTGCTTCATGCCATTGATTGTTTAGTGCATCCGCTGGCTGTCATCCCTGCTGATCTTGATTCAGGGTTGTTATGGTTCTCTGCTAGATAGTCTCTTCATTGATGAACGTTTGTTGTTTTGTTTTCTCGGTGCGATGCCACGGTGGTAAGTAATTATCAAAGTTCCCATCCGTTGGTCATTCCTCCAGATCAAATCAACAATACCAGTATTCATGCCGCTCCTTTGCCACTACCACACTTTCCTTTTTCCCTTTTTCTTAGTTAGTGTCCCCTTAAGGGTTTTTTGTACCTGCTACTCTTTTGTTTCTAGAATTCTAGGCTAATGCTCCCATCGAGTGCCCATTGAATTCATGTATATAATAAAAATCAACGTTAAACTGAGCTACATCCCCATCTCTTTCCGTTTTTCATCACTTTTTGCCACCTTCCCCCGGTAAAAAGTATTTCCTCACTATAAAAGCGGTTTATCTCGACAACAAACACTCCAACTAGCCTTCAGTTGTACCAGTTTACTTGCATTTAGTCAACGTACATTGTGTTATAACTTCCAGTTTGTTGGACATCTTTTTCATATTTTATTGAATCTCCAAAGTTTGATAGAATATTTTCAGCCATGCTCAACAATAATCAGCAATCTATGGATTTGAATCAGCTCATCCAAACTGTTCAAGAACAACAGCAACAGCTGATCTCTCTTACCGAGCGAGTACAGCAACATGACAATCTCCTTGCCCGCCTGGACCTTTTGGAAAAGGAAAATGGAGAATTGAAAAATCAGTTACAGGCCAAGGACCTTGCAATTGAAAAATTACAGGGCCAACTCTCATCCCGCCGCACCAATCAAGGTGCTCTTTCCAGCTCTCAGGTAACACCACCCCAAGAGCTTGTTACTACTCACCAACCCGATGCTACTCAAGGTAGCTACGCATCTGCTGCCCGTAAAGGTGCCCAACATCGTGACCCTGCCCGTACTACCAAGCGACGTCTTGCTGCAGGTCGTATGTTCCAAACCGCCACCACCAAAGGTCAACAAGGATACCAGTATGTGTATCTAGGCCGCTCTGGTAAAATCCTGCGCTCTGAGGTTCGTTACCAACTTCGCCGAGCTGGTATTGATACTGGCCGTGTGTTAGACATCTGTTTCCCTGCCACTGGCGTCATTGGCATCTTGCTCCACATCCAATATGTTGAGGAATTTCTTGCCTGTATGCGCAAATGTGAAGCTGATCACATTGAAAACTTCCAACCCTTGGATCCCAACAACATTGCTGATCCCAAATATGCTGATCTTGCCATTGAAGAGCGTGAGCAATTGATCTATGAATTCACCAACACCCGTGCTCTGCAAACCCTCTCTTTCCTTCGTCCACTCAACGTTAGTGGCGTTGGCAAATACTTTGTCTCTGCTGGCTGGATCTCTCAAGAAGAGCTAGATATAGCCGTCTCTGAAGCTATCGGTCGTCTTGCCGAGAAGGAGCCCAAAAAGGCTAAATTCTTATTCAAGCGTCAAAAGGACGATCATGACAGCAATGGCTCTGCTATGGAACTCTAATGAGTAACATAGCTACTAGTCATACTCCCAATAACAACCCAGTCCACTCCTTTCAAGTCTCTCTCTCCCTTTGGAATGCCAATGGTCTACGTCAATCAACGGTACATGATGTTCTCCATCATGTTCAGAACACTCATGTACTGCTTGTCACTGAAACCTGGCTAACCTCTGGTTCTTTCCCTACTAACTGGTCTCAATTCCACCTCTATGGCTCTAAAGTACCTGGTGCATTTAACCGTGGTTCTGGTGGCATTACTGCCTTTGTCTCTCCTTCCTGTCCTTTCTCTGTCTCTCAACTTCCATCTTACAATGCACACACTTTGTCCCTTAAGGTTGGCACCCTTACGGTTCATTGTGTGTATCTGCCTCCACCCTTATCCTCGGATAAGGTGCTCTCGCTTCTTCGCTCGTTACCCGTAACCAGTGATACCATCCTTTGTGGTGATTTCAATGCTCGCTTTGGATCTCTACTGGGTGATACTAATGCTAATCCTCGTGGCACCTCACTACTGCCATGGCTGGAGGAGTCCTCTTTATCCATTCTCAATGAGTCTTTAGCATTCGGTACACCCACATTCACAACCTTTCGACGTCAACAAGAGGTTCATAGCATCATTGATCTGTTTCTCACAAACATTGGCGAGGCTGCTCTGTTACATCCTCAACTGGTGGTTGAATCTGATTTGTCTCTTGGCTCTGATCATCGGCTGATGGTACTTACTTTCGAGTATGTGCCCCCTCCCGATGATACTCTTGGTTCTGGTAACTCTGGTGGTTTGGCCCCTAGACGGCAATGGAAGCTCTCGAAATTGAGGAAAAAGCGGCCTTTGGGCTTGCTTCGTGAATCCTTCCGATCTTCTGTTGCTCCTTTGGTTGGTTCTCTCTCTGGTTTGGTGTCTGCTCCTCCTGGTGTTTGTCCAGATATTGATGCACTCAACGATTCTTTGAATCAATGTTTGTATGAATCTCTGGATAGCTCAATTGGTGTGAAATCTGGTCGTCCTGGCCACTGGAAAAAGTACTGGACACAGGAAATTGAGGATGCTGCTCGTGAAAGAGATACTATGTATAGTAGATGGAGGTGGGCAAGTCGTTTTGCCAAAGTCGAAACATGGAATCTCTATCAAGCTGCTCACAGGCGTTTTCGTTCTCTTGTACAAGCTGCTAAGCGTCGATCGTGGAATCAGTTTTGCTCTGATTTAGAAAAGGACTTTTCGAAAGCCACTGCTGCAATCAAGCGCATTAAAAGAAACAAGGAATGCTCTGCAACGTACAGTCATCCAGACGGTCCAACTGCCTCTGTCAACACAATGGCGTCCCATCTTGCCTCAGTCTATGATGGCTCTTTGTTGAATAATGCGTCTCGCCCTACTGCTCCCCAAGTGAACAACTCTGATTTGCCTTACGCTGTGCCTACTGATCTGTCTCTGTTTGATGCTGATATACTTGTCGCTCTCATTAAGCGTTTGCCAAATGGGAAAGCTCCTGGTCCTGATCATCTGAAAGCTGAAATGCTGAAGGCTCTAGCATCTGACATTGCACCCGTATTGTCTCTGCTCTTTACACTCTGCTCTCAGTGGTCGTATACACCAGCTCTATGGCGACATGCTCAAGTCTTTCCCATTTACAAGAAAGGTGATGTATCTGATCCTGCAAACTTTCGTCCAATTTCGCTTACTTCGGTGATGCGTAAATTGTTCGAATTCTCTCTGATGCCTGCTCTTGATGAACATTCGCCTGCACTTGATGTTGCTCAAGGTGGTTTTCGCCCACAGCGTAGTCCTCTGGATCAAGCCCTCTGTTTACATGACTTGATGCACGACTACTTCCTCACCCACCATCACTATCCTGTGGTTGCTTTCCTGGACATCAAATCAGCGTATGATACCGTGGATCGTCGAGTGATTTGGGATGCTCTCTCTCGTTCTTCTCTGCCTCGTTCAGTTCTCAGTTTGCTCATCCACATGTTCGATGATGTACTCGTGTCTGTGTTGATTGCAAATCACACCTCTGTTCCCTTTTCGCCTGCTACTGGCGTATTGCAGGGTTCAGTGCTCAGCCCTCACTTGTACTCTTTGTACATCAACTCTCTGCCTGCTCTTCTTCGTTCTGCTGTCAGTCGCGGTACTATGGTATCACCACCTGGGATGCCTAGTGTTTGCGTGAATAGCCTGCTCTTTGCTGATGATGTAGCCATATTTGGCTCTCGTACTGATGTGCAAACCATGTTGGATGTCGCTTCAGATCACTCGTTCTCTCTTGGCTACAGATGGAAACCATCAAAATGTGCTGTACTTTGTGCTCCCACTGCCTCTACTCGTCATCCATTGTCCCTATACGGTGAACCTCTTCCTGTGGTAGAGGAATTCACGTATCTTGGTATGCCGTTTAGATATAAAGGTCTGTATGCCCCTGGGATTCTCAATCTGCGTGCTTCTGGTGCTATCAAGACAATGGCATTGTTGAATTCGGTTGGTGTCAATCGAAATGGTTTTTCTCTGTTGCTTTGTGCTCGTTTGTATAAAAGCTTTATTCGACCCAAGCTGGAATACGGCTTAGCAATATCGCATCTCTCTTTCCGTGACTTCAAGGCTCTTGATGCTCTGCAAAATCGATTGGTTGGTATGTTTGTTGGTAGTACATGGTACAATGTTGCCAAACATTTGACCTGTATTCCCAGCATGAAGCATCGATATAATGTCCTGGCAACACGTTATGCTCTTCGTGCTGATACTCTCCCTGATGATTGCTTGTTGGTTCTGCTTCGTCGTGGATTACTGTACACTCGTCTAGACAGATTTATTTGTCAAAACCCGTTGTATCTGACACTACCTGATCCGCCGCCATTCACCACTGCTGGTCTTACTGAAGTCTTTGATTCGTATTGGCAAGATCAAGTAGATCATCAACTTGCTGCTGCTGCTGTTTCTGGTACCCAGACCCTCCTCCGTGCTTGTCGTCCGTCTGTCTCTCGTCCAGATCCCATTCTGTATCTGCCTATTGGTCGATCTGCTCGTAGTCGTCTTGTGCGGTGGCGTCTTGGACGTTTCACCAATATGCGTGAAGAATGTCCGTGCACTACCGGTGAGTTTATCTCCCGAGATCACTTTCTGACATGTCGCGCTCTGGACCGTACCTTTTTTGATGCTTTGCCACCTGCTCCACCTGGTATCCATCGCATTGATCATGCTCTGAACTGTCTTCCAGACAAAGCTTCAGCTGGTCCACCGTACTTTTGGTCTGCTTTGCTCCTTTTGTTGCATGCCATTGATTGCCTTGTGCATCCTCTGGCTGTGATCCCACCAGATCCAGATCCTGGATCGCTCTGGTTTTCTGCTCATTGATGAACGTTTGTTGTTTTTGCTTTCTCGGTGCGATGCCACGGTGGCAAGTAATTATCAAAGTTCCCATCCGTTGGTCATTCCTCCAGATCAAATCAACAATACCAGTATTCATGCCGCTCCTTTGCCACTACCACACTTTCCTTTTCCCTTTTTCTTAGTTAGTGTCCCCATAAGGGTTTTTTGTACCTGCTACTCTTTTGTTTCTAGAATTCTAGGCTAATGCTCCCATCGAGTGCCCATTGAATTCATGTATATAATAAAAATCAACGTTAAACTGAGCTACATCCCCACCTTTCTTTCCGCTAACCAATTTTTTTAATACATTGAAGCCCAGTAATATTGAAAAAATTGATCCAACTCTACAAATCCATACAATACATAGCAAGAACACCATTCCAGACGACACCAAAGTAAACCAGGCATTAAGCTCTGCGTCCTCTCTCTCTCCAGGTCAAAAACGGCCAAGTTCCTCAAGATCTCCACCTTTTTTCGCTGTAGATTTCACTCAACAGTTGAAAACAAAGAAAATGACACTCTCTCAAACCTCTCAGCACCACCATCCACAAACATCAGTTGGTATCATCAACATTTCTACTGATTTTGGACCAACAACTCCTCCATCTGCCTCTCCAGCGAGTGAACAGCAACTTTCAACCTTTATGATTGAGGTTCGAAATCGCTTAGCTCGTCTGGAAACCGCTCATGTCGAAATTGAGCGGTTAAAAACAGCCCTGGCAGAGTCTGAAGCTGCTCGTCACGCTCTCGAAGCCCAACTTGCAGCTGCTACTGGTACTACAACTAGCCTGGCTCCCAAGCCATCATCATCCCACCCACCTCCTGCCACTACTACCACCACAATAGCATCAGCATCAACTACATGCACCAATGCTACCTCTGCCACCTCTTTGTCTCCAGGAAATCAACCATCTTTTGCTGCCGTCGTTGCATCTAATACAGGTGCAAAGCGTAAGAAGAAGCCTGCTGCTCGTCCTCCTCCTCCATCTGCCACCAAGGCATCCGCTACTCTTGCTCGTCTTTTTGCTCCTCAAAGTGATATACCATCTGGTTATCAATTTGTGTACTATGCTACTCCTGTCCGCCGTCGTCTTTCTGAGCTGCGTCGCCTTGTTCAAGGCGTAGGATTGAATAACTCTCGTGTGCTGGATATTCAATATCCTGTACAGAATGTGATTTCTTTCCTTGTTCATAATGACTATGTACTCACCCTCACCAAAGCCATGCATCTACATGGTCGTGGCTGCTCTCCGTTGATTGACTTTGATCCATGTGATCCAGTCAATCTCAAAGATCCCAAATTTGCTTCTCTCTCTCCTGATCTGCGTGTCCAAAAGGCCATTGAGGTCGAAAACCTTCGCTGCCTTCGTTCGCTGTCTTTTGTCCGTCGCTCTGTCCGTGTTTCTGTTGCTCGTTCTTTTCTTTTGTATGATCGCATCAACCAAGCCCAATTTGATGCCATTTTGAAAGAAGAAATGCCTGCTCGTTCCTCCTCCTCTGCTGCTGCTAAACCACCATCCCGATCCTCTGATCAAGAGCGTTTAGCCAAGAAACAACGTTTGAGTTATCTTGGCTACCTCTTGCATCATGATGCTGAAACTGCCTCTCTCTTGGCTTATGCTGTCTCCCCAACTCTCTCTGCTACCAAGGATCTTGAAATGTCAGAGCCTTCTGATAACTTGTTAAGCACAAAGAATAAAAGGATTATTATTTGTAGCTTATAAAAAATGTTCAATATTATAAAAACAAGAAAAGACTTATTTGAATAAGATCAGACACAAAAACTAATGATTTATTGATGAAGACAAGAGTTATTCTATTTATACTAAGTTCTGAATGCCAAAGTAGCAATTTATCTTGTACAACGCTTATCACATCTGGTGAACCTCAGTATTTAGATAGCTGAGATGCACTTCACTTATCATAGCTTGTCCATGTTGTTGCACAACACAGACATATCTACCCATCAAGAATACCTTAATCTTTATAGACAGTTGTAGCCCTTCTGGCACAACATTGCCCCCCCAGATTCAGGTACTTCTTGTGGACATTTCGTAATCCCAGATTACAAAACATCATGACAATATAGCACATAAAGCACTTTCCAATAAATAATTACCAAATGACACTGCATCCGAGATCAGTCAGTAAAAACCTTGTGTAAAAACCTTTCATAGGACAAAAATGTAAGGAAAAGACTTGATCCCATCATGCTAGTAGCCATTTAAGACCTGTTTGATCTACCGCTCTGACCAATTTCGCGAGTAGTAGTAGTTCGCCAGTTAACTGTTTGAGGAGCTAACCTACGTTTACCAGCAGCCTTTGCACCTTCTCTTCGAGCCCAATACAGCTCAATGTGTTTGGCCGAATCAAAGTTTTTCACAGGCTCCCAAGTATCTTCACTAGGATCATCGAACCCTTTCCATTTTACCTTATACTCATAGTTACCAGGAGATCCTCTATGATCAATCACAGCTTGAATTTCGTAATGCTCTGCAGAGAATTCATCAATTGTGATTGGCTGAGGATTCGCAGCGACTTGGTACTTGATATGATGGGTAGGCACATCTCGACTAAGGAGTGCGCCCGTCTTGTCAGCCAGCACATAGGAACCTTTATCGGTTATACTATGAATCAAATAAGGTCCTTCATACCGTTCATCTAACTTATTTTGACGATGAACATTTTTAATCATAACTTTACTACCAATAGGATAGGGTTCGGCAATGACCTTATGTTTCTTCGCAAAGTTAGCATGATCAGCATTTTGTGTATCCACAATACGCTTAGAAATAGCCGGGATAAGAACATCTTGTACAAAACGGTATCGTTTGTCAATGAGTCTATTATCAGCTTTCTCCAAACGTTTGGAATAGTCCACCTTTGAGTAATCAGCCAGACCATTTGGTTGACGATTAAACAAAAGTGTATACGGACGAGATTTATGTAGCCGAGCATACTTGACATTGATGCAGTAATTCACCCACGGAATGAAGTGCTCCCATTGATCCCTCTTACCTTTTAACAACTTGATAGTCGTTAACTTACATATTTTGATAAATGACTCAGAAACCGAGTTACCCAATGGATTGTACCCTAATGACAGGCGATGGTCTATCCCACTGATGTCCATCATAGCACGGACCACCTCATTTATCCCTTCCAGGCCTCTGTCTGAAGTCAACTTGATTGGCCATCCAAAAAGTGAGAAAACTTGAAGCATTTCCCTGGCAATTGTCGTAGCCTTCTTGTCTGGAATGCATCTTATCACAGTAAATCTCGTAAAGTAATCAGTAAGGACAAATAGAAAGTTGCTGCCGAAAGAGCTAGTAACACCCATATCACCGAGATCCATGCACCAATGATCCAAAGGTTGGGCTGCATTGACACTACGGAAAGGATGATATCCCTCTCTAGCGATATTGTACCTGTTACACTCGTCACAATCAGCTAATATTCTTTCTATGTCTTTCCGAATGTTCACCCAGTGAAACCCTTCATGATGAATTGCAGTTTCAACATGTTTGATCCCAAAATGTCCAACCAGATGCTGAGCAATGATCATATTGTCTCTTTCATTAGCAGGAGGAGTGATATAGTCAGCAAACCTAAGCGTACGCAATATGAATTCCTTTTGCTTTTGCGAGACAGCTGTGGTGGTGCCATCTTTGATAAGAGTAGCGTTTACCGCAGTGCGTGCATGGTTGCTAAAAGAATTAGATCGTAACGCCTTAGTTGTCTTGACCAAAGTACGTTTCATTGGAGGCGAAGGTGTGACAACCTTGAGTTTGTTTTTGGAACCCTTTTTCTTTCTCTTTACACTTTCACCACCATCAGCATAGTACCTGCCCCCCAGAAGATGTCGTGCTGAAGCATCAGCATCCGAATCTTCGTAAAGTCGAGATAAAGCATCAGGAATTACGTTAAGGACACCGGGCAAATGCACAATATCGAAAGTATAAGAAAAAATGGTCTCCCACCATCCAAGCATGAGTGCATTGGGGACTTCCTGTGTATTCAAGTAGATCAGACTCTTATGGTCCGTATGTAAGGTAAACTCTCGCATATACAGAAAACGATGAAACTTAACCAAGGCATAGCAAATCCCTAGCAATTCCCTTTTCGTAGTACTGTAGTTACGCTCAGAAACAGACAATTTACGAGATACGAGACCTACATATCGAATTTCATCGTTGACCACTTGATATAAAACCGCGCCAAGAGCAGTTAAACTAGCATCAGTAGCCAAGTGAAATCGAATCGAAAAATCAGGAGGTGACAGCACAAGTGCCATCGTAAGTGCATCCTTCAAGTCGGCAATCGCTTTTGTATGAGACTCATTCCAAACATCTGTTAGATCTTTGTACTGTTTCAAGCTATCAAGATCTCGAGTCAGACGAGAATAACATGGAATGGCAGCACGAAAGTACGACATTAAACCCAAGAAAGATGCCAATTGACGACCAGTGGTAATAGCCGGCCAATCTGCAATGTTGGTAAGTTTTCTACCGTCAGGCAGTAATTTACCATTAATAACACTCCATCCCAAGAGATAAATACTACGCTGAGCGAAGACGACTTTCTCAGGATTGAGCACCAAATTAGCATCGGTTAAACGACGAATTACCTCAGCAACCAACGCATAGTGATCTTGTAGGCTCCCATTACTACTGCATAAGATGTCATCTACATAGCAGGAAACCGAGTGATCACCATCAGTAGGAAACGAAGTAGAACCAGAGCTTGTATTCAAATCAGAGAGCAGTGTTTGCAATGTGCGTACAACCACCGATCCGACATGGCGAATTCCATAAGCAGCCTTTTTATGGGTGTATTGGATATTCGTGAAGGGACAAGTAAATGAAACTTTATGAGCTTGCTCTGGATCCAAACCAAAGCTAGTAAAGCAAGCATGGATATCGAGACAAGTATGAATCATTTTCGTACCAATGCTCTGATGGATATGAGAGATTAAAGGTAACTGTTGTTTGTCATCCACTTCCAAGATAGCATTCAACTTACGAACGTCACACACCACTCTAGGCTTAGACATTGTGTAATTACCATCAGCGTCCTTTTTCTTTACAACCAACAATGGATGATTGAAACGTGTATGACTAGCAGATCTTTCAACAACACCCTCATCAAGCCATATCTGAATTTGTTTGGCAACAGCATCACGATAAGCTTCAGGCAAAGGATATTGAGCTCGCCAAGCGACAGCACCTGGTTTAGTATCAAGCTTAATAATCGAATCCGGCAGATTACACTGAGTATTCTTCATATCAATGCGCGAATTCTCTTCTAATAACCCCTTTAGTGCAAGTAGAAACGGTTGTCTCTCTTCCTCACTACCAAAAGGATGTGCGTTTGGAGTAATACCATCATCAATAGGATCTGGTACACGAGGACCTGATTGAAAGCCATGTTGACTCACCAAGCCCGTAAGACCAATGCCAAGCTTGGACAAAATATCCATACCAAGCAATACAGGTACATTTTCCTCAGAATAGAATGGAAATACTTCAAACAAATGGTTTTTATTTGATTTATTGTAGCTAATGTGCAAACGTACCGCACCTATTCTAGGCACAGTCGTTACTTCATGAGCCATTTGAACAAAGCTCTCATCATCATCATTAGCCTCAAATCCAGCAAGAGAGGTTCCTCCTAAGAATTGAAAGAACTTGTCAGTGACGCACGAAAACGTAGCACCCGTATCCACTAAGCCAAAGCAAATGACATTTTGAACCACAATAGGAACACAAATAGCATTGGTGGTCATAGTAGGTGGAGCACTAAATCTAGCATCGAACTTACATTGCTGAGCAAATATATTTTGTAGCGTATCGTCGTCCACAGACATGCTACTCATCTCTTTTTCAAGAAGAATAGACTGGGCACGATTCACCAGATCAGTATCCTCAAAGATACCATGAGCTTCACTCATCACAGCATCTTGGTCAACATCAACATTGTCACTATCACCAGAAGAAGGAGCAAGGACAACATCATCCACCGATTGTTCAGCAGAGGAGACAGCAGGGGAAGAAGCACCTTTCTCAGCTAACGCACGATCAACACGAGCAGAGAGAAAAGCAGCTTGGATTGCAGCATCCATCGAATGTTTGCCACCACGTTTCTTAGTCATGGCACGCAAAACTTTTTTACCACCATTGCCCTGATGGGTGTTACCACCACCAGTACGAATAGCAGTGTTGCAGTGATGCATCTGCCCCTTTGGTCGAGGACCGTTACATTTGGAGCAAGTCCCTTCAGCAACATGTTCAGCAAATGTTTTGCCAAAACGATTAGCACCAGAACGTGGAGAGTTGGACGAGGGACCATTGGATCTCGACGAAGAGCTGCTTTGCAGAGCGTTTCCACTAGAAGAAGGTGCGTACCGAGACTTCTTTGCTTCGTTCGAAACAGGTATGTCAGCAGCGCGTTTTCTTCCATCAAAAACAGAGCCCAAAGATTCTTGACCCGTCTCAATAGCCATCATATCCATCTTGCGCACGAGAGAGGACACATAATCAATGTCATAAAATGACGATTCTGGTGCCTGACTCATAGCAACCATTAGCAACCTAGCGGTAACCTTGGGGAAAGCGTCAAAAAACACCATCGCAACGACACCCTTATCACTGATGTCAGCTCTATTTCTCAACGTCTTAAACCGCTCTACGAAACCATCAACGGATTCTTCGTTGCCTTTAGTACA